TCTTGCTTTTTCTCGCTATCAGTTACACTCCTTTGGAATTTCTCTGCAGGTTAAAATTCTCATTACTAAATGTCTCTCATTTGATGATGAGCAAATAGCAAAAAGGTATGGATAACATAGTAAAAAAAAGCTAAGCAAGCTTTCCTATTGTTATTGCATCTCTTTCTCTTGTGCAGAGTATTGCTGCCTAGGGGAAGATTACAAGAATGCAGTGTCTTGTTAAAACCTGAAAGCGCAATGAACAAAAAGCAGTCTCCTTCAAGTGAGCTATGCTATTTTGGTAATAAGTAATGCTTCTCTCCCTGTTGTGAATGCTGGTGACCTGGTATGTAGACCACAGCAAAGTAGTGAATAATTCACAGAGTTGTTGGCCTCCTCTTAGACCTCTTCAGAGCTTTGTCTTATGAATATATCATCCCCTGCCTCCAAGCACACACAGACAGCACTGAACTTGACAGCTGAGTTTCCAGTCTACCAATGTTTAAGCTATGGATGTGACTGATGGAGAATGTGAAAAAACACACACAGTCAAATTATGGAATGTTTCAAAGAATGAAATTTCACTCAACTATTTGTTCATTATCAGTTAGTTAACACCATTTGTCATCATAAATCTGTGCATGCTGAAATAAGGAGCTATAAAACACAAGCACAGCATAGATAAGGTGTTGTTTAACCCAGCTCTTATGTTTTGACTGCTTAGGACAAGTATGATATCAATATTCTCCATTAATCTTCACTCTCCTAAGGCTTGGAGGCTACATGTTTTATAACTGTAACAAAAGGAGTTTTAAGGATTCTGTTGTTCATACCTTCCCTGTGACATCACTGCCTGAGAACATAACTCTTTTCAACAAAGAACAGATCCTTTTAACTTCCTTTTCAAGGACAACTAATTTTTCTACTATATTGCTGACATGCATAATTCTATTGTTCTTGACATTATCACAAATACTTACTTAAATACCCATATGGAAGAAAAATATATTTGTAATATATATTAAAAACATTCTTTCCAAATATATTGACATATATTTGAAATACTACAATTTTGGTTATATTCATTATATTTCAAAATATATTTCAATAAATATATATATATATATATATATATATATACTGCATTTCAACATGCTATATATATATATATATATATATATATATATATATATATATATATATACACACTGCATGTTGAAATGCGTTCTTTTATATATTACAAAATATATGAAAAATAGTTTTCAAAATATATTGTTTAGAATATATTCTTCAGATTTTTTTTTACATATAAAAAAGTCATTTTAACATATATTTTTACATATATTTGTAAATGCATTCCAAAAATGTAGATTTGTATTTTTAAAGATATACAGTATACAGTCATGGCCGAAATTGTTGGCACCCTTGATATTTTTCCTGAAAATCAAGTATTTCACACACAAAAAGGTATTGCATTAACACATGTTTTGCTATACACATGTTTATTCCCTTTGTATGTATTGGAACAAATATAAAACAGAGGCAGAAAAGCAAATATGACATAATGTCACACAAAACCCCAAAAATGGGCTGGACAAAAGTATTGGCACCCTTAACTTAATATTTGGTTGCACACCCTTTGGAAAACATAACTGAAATCAGTCGCTTCCTATAACCATCAATAAGCTTCTGACACCTCTCACCCGGAATTTTGGACCACTCTTCCTTTGCAAACAGCTCCAGGTCTCTCTTATTGGAAGGACACCTTTTCCCAACAGCAATTTTAAGATCTCTCCACAGGTGTTCAATGGGATTTAGATCTGGGCTCATTGCTGGCCACTTCAGAACTCTCCAGCGCTTCTTTGCCATCCATTTCTGAGTGCTTTTTGACGTATGTTTGGGGTCATTGTCCTGCTGGAAGACCCAGGATCTTGGACGCAAACCCAGCTTTCTGACACTGGGCCCTACAGTGCGACCCAAAATCCTTTGGTAATCCTCAGATTTCATGATGCCTTGCACACAGTCAAGGCACCCAGTGCCAGAGGCAGCAAAACAACCCCAAAACATCATTGAACCTCCACCATATTTTACCGTAGGTACTGTGTTTTGTTCTTTGTAGGCCTCATTCCGTTTTCGGTAAACAGTAGAATGATGTGCTTTACCGAAAAGCTCTATCTTGGTCTCATCTGTCCACAAGACGTTTTCCCAGAAGGCTTTTGGCTTACTCAAGTACATTTTGGCAAACTGTAGTCTTGCTTTTTTATGTCTCTGTGTCAGCAGTGGGGTCCTCCTGGGTCTCCTGCCATAGCGTTTCATTTCATTTAAATGTCGACGGATAGTTCGCGCTGACACTGATGCTCCCTGAGCCTGCAGGACAGCTTGAATGTCTTTGGAACATGTTTGGGGCTGCTTATCCACCATCCGGACTATTCTGCGTTGCAATCTTTCATCAATTTTCCTCATCCGTCCACGACCAGGGAGATTAGCTACAGTGCCATGGGTTGCAAACTTCTTGATAATGTTGCGCACTGTGGACAAAGGCAAATCTAGTTCTCTGGAGATGGACTTGTAACCTTGAGATTGTTGATATTTTGCCACAATTTTGGTTCTCAGGTCCTCAGACAGTTCTCGTCTCCTCTTTCTGTTGTCCATGCTTAGTGTGGCACAGACAGACACACAATGCAAAGGTTAAGTGAACGTCTCTCCTTTTTATCTGCTTTCAGGTGTGATTTCTATATTGCCCACACCTGTTACTTGCCCCAGGTGAGTTTACAGGAGCATCACATGCTTGTAACATTCTTATTTATCCGCAGTTGTGAAAGGGTGCCAATACTTTTGTCCAGCCCATTTTTGGAGGTTTGTGTGACATTATGTCGAATTTGCTTTCTTTCCTCCCTTTTTTTGTTTTGTCCCAATACACACAAAGGGAATAAACATGTGTATAGCAAAACATGTGTTAATGCAATACGTTTCGTGAGAAATACATGATTTCCTGGAGAAATATCAAGGGTGCCAACAATTTCGGCCATGACTGTATTTGAAAAGGTATTTTTAAAAATATTTTTCATATATTTTGTAATAAAAATGCATTTCAACATATAGTATATATATATATATATTTATTTATTTATTTCAGGTACTTATATAGCGCTGTCAATTTACACAGCGCTTTACATATATATTGCACATTCACATCAGTCCCTAACCCTCAAGGGGCGTACGATCTAAGGTCCCTAACTTACATTCATACATATACATACTAGGGCCAATTTAGACAGGAACCAGTTAACCTATTAGCATGTCTTTGGAGTGTGGGAGGAAACTGGAGAAAACCCACGCAGACACAGAGAGGACACGTAAACTCCAGACAGGTAGTGCTGTGGTTGGGATTTGAACCAACGACCCTAGGGCTGCCAGGTGTAAGTGCTAACCACTTAGCCACTGCGTTGCACCCATTAAAGTTGAACTACAGGTGTCATTTAATTCAGGTATGTATCCTTTAAAAAAAATCAATACATACATATAATTAGCATGAATACTTGATTCTTTTCTGACATCAGCCTCCTATAATTCCCTACGCATCAAGTCTGGAATAGTCAGTACTGTCACAGACAGTCACATAGAGCTCTTTTGCTTTAAGAGATGCTGCCAAATTAATATTCATACAACAGGAGAGAATATGACCTCCTCAGTAAGCTACTTCTCCTTCATTGTCCAATTACAGACTAGGGTTGGAACTCACCAAGTTGTATTGCTTTATTTGCATTAAAAGAAAAGTCAGGTCACTAGCCTGTATGTACTGTCTGATAGCTGTGCCCTTTTTACAAGACTCACTTAACAAAGAAACAAAAATAGAGCCCAGAAAAGGGGAAGTTTACCCACTCACCAGCCTTTAAAAATGAACAGACTTTACTGGCACAACACGAGACAAGTAAGTAAATACAATGACTATATTCCAAATATATTAAAACCTCCACAACATGAGTAAAAATCTAGGGGTAGAACCCCTTAGAAAGTCTCTAAAAACATATGTAATACCCATTACTGGACTGGTAAGCATAACAGCCTAGAGTACTCTCTCTCTCTCTCTCTCTCTCTCTCTCTCTCTCTCTCTCTCTCTCTATATATATATATATATATATATATATATATATATATATATATATATATACAGTATAATGTAAGGGTAGGCTTCTCCAAATCCAGATGTCAACACCTTTCGCCAGGCATTCTGCTGGTGGGGGTACTGTGCGCATTTACTGAGCAGGCTGGTACCTCATCATCATTTATTCATTTGTGCCAGTATGTTATAACTTCTGGGACAAAATGGGATATTATTTTACCCATGGAACATCACCCCTTTGTCTACACAATGCCATTCTGGGAGGTACATATAGTTGAATATTAAACTCAACACAGGAATACATGTCTCTTGGAATATAAATAGAGTAAAGGTTGTGGACAAGTAATTACTCCCTTGTTGTTTGTACACTATATTGCCAAAAGTCTTGGGACGCCTGCCTTCACAAGCACATGAACTTTAACCTCCCTGGCGGTATGATTATTTCATATTTTTGGTACTGAAAGCAGTACCATTTTTTTGCATGGAAATATGTATTTTTTTTATTGTAGGCCTGTAATGTTTAGGAATAACTCACTGAAATCTGTCTGAACAAGAGTCTAGTAAACATTCCGGATATGATAAAACTTGAAACACAAAATCATAAATTATAATTTAATAAATAATCATAAAAAATAATAATATAATAGTAATAAATTTAATTCAATAAAATAATCAAACCAAAAACACTAAATTTTGAAACATAGCTCCAAGTTCGCACATTGCTGAGCAAAGTCGCAAAATCGTTTTCAGTGTCTGATGACGAATTTCCCCACAAATCATTATCGCTCAATTCTGCAAGTGGTTCTGACTTACTATTGCTGTTCTCTAGCGGGTCTAAAACCACTTTTGACCTAAAAGGATGCTTTTTGGATGCCATGGACTTCTCTAAGTTTCCAGGCAGAAAGAACAGTCAAAATGCAGGCAGGGCACAGGACAAAGCACTAGGGACAAAATGTATGTGAAATGCTGTGAAACAGCAATGTTTTGCTATGTAATATTCATTTACAAAAAAATGACAGTTTTAAAAAATTTTTTTAATTTGCCGCCGGTTTCGGCCCCCGTACGTCCCGACGTCACAGGGAACGGAACACGGAAGACTGATGCCGGCATCGGACGGAGGAGATGGCCGGGGACGCTGCAGGAGGGACTCGCAGGAACGAAGGACAAGGTAAGCTGCAGGGAATCCCTGAGCAACGCCGAATGGTAAGCCCGAGTGTAGCTCGGGGTTACCTCTTTTGGTTCTGAAACTCTACCCCGAGCTACACTCGGGAATACCGCGAGGGAGGTTAATGGCATCCCAGTCTTAGTCCGTAAGATCCAGTATTGAGTTGGCCCAGCCATTGCAGCTATAAAAGCTTCAGCTCTTCTGGGAAGGTTGTCCACAAGGTTTATGAGTGTGTTTATGGGAATGCTTGACCATCCTTCCGGAATTGCATTTGGGAGGTCAGGCACTGATGTCAGACGAGAAGGCCTGGCTTGCAGTTTCCACTCTAATTCATCCCAAAGGTGTTCTATTGGGTTGATGTCAAGAATCTCTGCAGGCCAGTCAAGTTCCATCACCCCAAACTCGATCATCCATGTCTTTATGGACCTTGCTTTGTGCACTGGTGCACAGTCATGTTGCAAGAGGAAGGGACCATCCCTAAACTGTTCCCACAAAGCTGGGAGTATTTTAATTGCTCAAAACTTCTTGATATGTTGACACCTTAAGAGTTCCCTTCACTGGAACTCAGAGGCCAAGCCCAAACCTTGAAAAACAACCCCACACCATAATCCCTCATCCACCAAACTTTACACTTGGCACAATGCAGTCAGGCAAGTACCGTTCTCCTGGCAACCACCAAACCCAGACACATCAGATTTCAGGCAGAGAAACATGATTTGTCATTCCAAAGAACAGGTCTTCACTGCTCTAGAGTCCAGTGGTGACTTGTTTTAAGCCACTGCATCCAACATTTTGCAGTGCACTTGGTGATGCAGCTGCTTGGCCATGGAAACCCATTTCATGAAGCTCTGTACACACTGTTGTTGTGCTAACTTCACACAAAGTTTGGAAGTCTTTAGCTATTGTAAAATAGAACATAGAAAAGTGACAGCAGAAAAAGGCCGCAGAAAAGAGTGGTCCATCGAGTCTGCCCTTTTTTTGTTTCTTTTTTTTTTGGGGGGGGGGTTGGTTTTTGTTTTGGTATTTTTTTTGTTTTGTTTTTTGTTAGTTTTTTTTTTTTTGTCTGATTATAAATCTACGCTTGTCCTATGCAGGTTTGAAGCTATACACTGTTGACTGGCTCACTACCTCTGCTGGAAGCATGAACTACTCTTTCAGTAATATAGTACTTTCTGAGATTAGTTTTGAACCTTCCTCTAGATAGTTTAAGGTCATGTCCCCATGTTCTTCACTCTGCAGACAGTTGGCAACTTCTGCGCACTGTGTGTTTCAGCATGTGCTGACCCCGCTCTGTCATTTTACGTGGCCTACCACTTCGTGGCTGAGTTGCTGTTGTTCCCAGTTGCTTCCACTTTGTTATAATATCACTAACAGTTGACTGTGGAATATTTAATTTCAATAGTTTTTTTTGAATTTTTTATGACATAACATAGTAAGCATATACAGTTCATCAGCAAATATGGGAATATAACATAGTATTAAATATATGCCCCACCAATTGGCTGGGGCTGATAGTGGTGTATATGGCAATAACTTAGAGGTATTCTCTATGTAATCTGAACCGTGTTGAGATGTGTAGGTGATCGGGAAGGGATGGAGAACAAGGAGAGAGAGGGGATGAAGGGGAGGATAGCGAGGGGGAGGGTGGGTGCAACCAGTCTAAACATAGTGGTCAGGATAGTTTACAATTAGGTTATCAGTATTTTACAAAGCAATTTGGATTTTGTAGCCAGCGAGACCACTGGAAAATAAATGTATGGTGGGTGGAGTTGTTAAGGGCGGATCTTCTTTCCATGTCACATTGAAAATTGAGGTCTATTATCAATGATATGAGGGAAGGGATGTTAGTAGTATTCCATAGTTTAGTGATATTGATTTTAGCCGCAGATAGTGTATGGATAATGATAGTACGGGAGTTGCGGGGGAAGTTGTCAATTCCGATGTGAAGGAGTGCAAAAGCGGCGTTTGGGGTTATTGAAGTATTGGATAGTATTGAAATCAATTGGAAGACGCTATTCCAGAAGGATCTGAGTGATCTGCATGCCCATAGTGTGTGAAGTATTGAGCCTATTTCTCCGCATTGTCTCCAGCAAGAGGAGGAATGTTGTGGGTAATAAAAGAAAATCACAGCTCCACCGGAGAAAGCCACCACTCCTCCACTGCACATCAACGGTATCTAGGAGGAGATACTCCCCGCAAGGGATCAAGAAAAAATGCCCATAGTGAAGTACAGTTAAAACTGGTTTAATAGGATAAGACAGGATGCATCCAATAAAAGGCAGTACAATGAAATAGCACACGGCTAGCAAAGTATGAAAGCTAGCGGCAAAACAAACAGGACTAACCGTCATGTCAGATGTAGAGATTTTCTTCCTTGCTGTTGAGTGGATCCTTTGCTGCTTGTTTGAGGATCTTCACTGATCAAGGGATTACATCTATCCTCTTCCCATGATGACTACATCCTGAACTCCATCTTTTGCCACATTACATGCACCTCTGGTCTGTGTGCACTGCCGTCTGAAGTCACCTTCACTGGGACTTTCTTTATTGGGACCCATTTATATGAATATAATTTTTATTCTATTTTTTTATATTCATATTGTTATTTTATTTCACATTTTAGCGCTGCACTTTTTATTCTATATTCATGTGAGGATTTTTTTGGTTGTCCTGTGTGTTTCAGCTGCTTGTCCACCTAAAAGCGCTCACTTTTTTGCTCTCTGTTTCTTACCTGAATTCAATGATTTGGAGGGGTGCCCCAATACTTTTGGCAATATAGTACATCTGTAAATTGTTGCAAACAATATTTGGGAGATCAGGGGTTCCAATTTCCTCAGTGTCCGCCAGGGGCGGACTGACCATTTGGAAACTCGGGCACTGCCGAGGGCCCGGGGTCAGTAGGGGGCCCCCGATGAAATGCCCCTGGTTCCTTTTTCATAGGCTTTTTAAGTTTTTGGCAAGGACACAGGGGCCCCATGATCCCATGAGTTGTCAGTCCGCCCCTGGTGTCCACCTGTCAGACAATATAAGCATGGTGATTCCCCAGACGGCTAGAATACAATTTTTAATTTGCAGATCCATGTGTTCTGTTGAAGCAATTCTTCAGCGAAACACAGTGACTTCTGGATTTGGAGAAGCTTAAACACAATGATTGCATATATATATATATATATATATATACAGTGCTCAGCATAAATTAGTATACATAAGGTAAACATATGTGAGCACACTCAGAGAGAAAGCAGCTATGCATGAAGGTAACCAAAGTAAAACCTCAATATAACAATACAGTAATAGTGCTGCACTATTACTGTATTGATAAATTAGTATACCACTTTGGAAAAGTAAGATTTTAAGCAATATCTCAATGAACACAAGAACAATTTCCAAAATGTTGACAATACTGAGTTTTACATTGTTTAGCTTATTACATGAAAGTAAGGTTAATAATATAATTTAGATTACAAAATCTTCAGTTTTACTCAAATTAGTTGATGCAAAAATGAATACACCCCACAACAAAAACTACTACATCTAGTATTTTGTATGACCTTCATGATTTGTAATGACAGCACCAAGTCTTCTAGGCATGGATTGAACAACTTGGCAACATATTGCAACATCTATCTTTTTTCATTCTTCAAGAACAACCTCTGTTAGAGCCTGAATGCTGTATGCAGAGTGATGCTCACCTTGTCTCTTCAGAAGTCCCCATAGGAGACATACTTGGACACTGAATCATTTTTACCCTGTTCTTCAGAAATGCAACAGTGGCTTTAGATGTGTGTTTTGGATCATTGTCATGTTTGAAAAGTGCATGATGACCAAGGGTACAGGGGGATAGTAGCATCTTCTTCAAAATAGCGTAGTACATCTGTGAATTTCTGATAACATCAATGAAATGCAGCTCCCCGACACCAGCAGCACTCATGCAGCCGCACAGAAGGACATTGCCACAACCATGTTTCACTGTAGGTACCATGCATTTTTCTTTGCACTCCTCACCTTTGCTATGCCATACAGTTTTGAAGCCATCAGTTCCAAAAACATTTATCTTAGTCTCATCACTCCAGAGTACAGAGTCCCAGTAGTTTTCTTCTTTTTCAGCATGGGCCCTGGCAAATTCTAGGTGGGCTTTTTTGTGCATGGGCTTTAGGAGAAGCATCTTTTGTGGATGACACACATTCCTGCAGTGTATGCCGTATTGTGCCATGGGAAACAATCACCCTAATTTGGCTTTCTACTTCTTTAGATGTAGTGAACTTGTATGGAGATTTTCTTCAACCCTTCTCATCAGAAGATGCTCTTGTCGAGGTGTTAATGTCCGTGGATGGCCTGGACATCTCTGTGGGATGGTTGTAGTTCCATCTTTGTTACATTTTTGTATCACTTTTGCTACAGTATTCTGAATAAGTAAAGCTTTTCTGATCTTCTAGTAGCCTTCACCTTTCTTGTGTAAAGAAATTAATTTCTTTCTCAGGCCACTTAATCAGGATTTTGTTGTCTAAAATTTAGCTTCGCTCCTAAGACTTTCATTGGGGTGTATTCATTTTTGTAACATGGTCTTGAATGTATTTGTTAGGAAAAATACTTTTTTGTGTGTGCAAATTAACAAATCTTGTTTACAATCAATGGCCCACACTTGTGGCAGTATTTTGTAGTATAGTGTCCCATAGAAAATGTTGATTCTGAAAGGAAAGTAAAGGTTTCCTGACAAATCTGTTGGGATGTGCTCATTTATGCTGTGCACTGTATATATACTGGTGACAGAGGAAGGAGGCTCTGTCACTGTGAGAATATAAGAAAATGTGACACAGGATTCACATTTGGGGTTAATGAGAAGTTCCAGATTGCTGTTTCTGAGCAGAGACAGCTGTGATATTGGCTTTCTCTGGATTCTGTAATTCTGGATCGAACTTTCAATTCTGTGTCTGGGTTTTGCCAGATTCCTGCAACCTGTCTGAGTGCACAGGTGTGCAGGGGTCGTTACATAAACAGGTCTGAAAAAAGCTCAGGATTGTGACCAGTTTGGAGACCACTCCCAGTGTGGGAGACGGAAGGTCTCACTGAGGGGTCAGGGGGCACCATCCAGAAGCCAAGAGACAGAAGGTCTCACTGAGGGGTCAGAGGTGCCCCAGCCTGAAGCCAAGAGACAGACAGTCTCACTGAGGGGTCAGAAGTGCCCCAGCCAGAAGCCAGAAGACAGCAAGTCTCAGTTCCAGGAGTCAGGTTGGATCCTATCAGGGGTGTCAGGACAATCCCAATCCATAGGCCAGAAGGTGGCTGTGCAGCAGGGCACTGTGACCAAAGACTAGAGAGGCAAACATCCAGGAGAGTTGGACAACACAGTCAAAGTGACTGGTGAGAAAAAAAGCAGTGCTGCCAAAGAGTGAGCCAGGTGGCTCTGTATTTTTGGTTGTGTATATTGTGTGGAAGAAACCCCTGTGTGGGCAACTGATGCACCAGTGAACTTTGCTTTCCTTTGAATAAAAGTGGGCTGCCATGCCCTAAAATTCAGTTATACGGGCGCAACTCATTGTAAACATACCTACAGCTTGAGCTTAATCACCCCAATCCCACTATATATATATATATATATATATATATATATATACTGTATATATATGTAGAGTATATATACTGTATATATATATATATATATATAGTGCTCAGCATAATTGAGTACACCCCTTTTGAAAAGTAAGATTTTAATCAATATCTCACTGAACACAAGAACAAGTTCCAAAATTTTGACAAAACTGAGTTTTATAGAACATTTGTTTAGGTCATGAAAGTAAGGTGAATAGTATAGCTTAGATTACAAAATCATCAGTTTTACTCAAATTAGTTGATGCAAAAATGAATACACCCCACAACAAAAGCTACTACATCTAGTATTTTGGATGACCTCCATGATTTGTAAGGACAGCACCAAGTATTCTAGGCATAGAATGAACAAGTTAGCAACATATTGCAAGTATCTTTTTCAATTCTTCAAGAATGATCTCTTTTAGAACCTGGATGTTGGATGGAGAGTGATGCTCAACTTGTCTCTTTAGAAATCGCCATAGGTGTTCTTTTGGGTTCAGATGAGAAGACATACTTGGCCACTGAATCACTTTACCCCTGTTCATCTTCAGAAATGCAACAGTGGCCTTAGATGTGTTTTTTTGGTCATTGTCCTGTTGGAAAAGTGCATGACAACCAGGAGCACGGAGTGATGGTAGCATGTGAATTCTTGATGCCACCAGTAAAATGCAGCTCCCCTACACCAGCAGCACTCATGCAGCCCCACAGAAGGACACTGCCACCACCATATTTCCCTGTAGGCACCATGCATTTTTCTCTGTATTCCTCAACTTTGCGACGCCATACGGTTTTGAAGCCATCATTTACAAGTTTATCTTGATCTCATCACTCCATAGTACAGAGTCCCAGTAGTCTTCTTCTTTTTCAGCATGGGTCCTGGCAAATTCTAGGGCCTTATGAGAGGCTTCGTGGATGACACCCATGCTGCCATTCCTCTGCAGAGTACACTGTTTTGTGTCATGAAAAACAATCACCCCAGTTGGTTTTCTACTTCTTTAGCTAACTGCAGTGAACTTGCATGGTGATTTTCTTCAACTCTTCTCATCAGAAGACACTTCTATCAAGATGTTAACAGCCTGGACATCTCTGTGAGATGGTTGCAGTTCCATCGTTGTTACATTTTTGTATCACTTTTGCTTCAGTATTCTGACTGATATTTGCTGTTTGCCTTGTCTTATTTTAAAAAGTGTCCATATAACATTTATTCAACCAATGCCATTAAGTGTAGACATGTGCTATTCCTTTCATTATGAATTGAAATTCTGTATAAATTTGTGTGTTTCAGAAATTCAGACGTATCTGAATCTACAAATCAGATTAGTAACAAATCTCAACTAATCTGAAATAAAGTATAATGAAAACAATTAATTCCATTGTATTAATTAATTTCATTTGGATGACAAGATGCAATAGTTTGGGCCTTTTGTCAATGTTTGAAGCATCCAAAATAACGTAACAAGGAAACCAATGATCTGACTTAATTTGGATCCATTTATTTTAATTCTAGTGAGCATAGCATGAATAGTAAATACCAACCATGTGGTGCGCTATCCCTTTAAATCTCTCAATACAAAAATAAACCCTAAGTGAATGTCTATTCGTAGATACTATAAAGGTCCATAATAGTATGTATAGTCCATTTTCACAAATTCAAGTGTAGTTCAAACAAAATAACGTGCTGTCCCTTCTTTGAGTGAAAAACAGTGGTATTGTTCCAGACCAACTTTTGAGCACATTTTCCACATCTTTGGAGCCATCAAGGAGAGTCTGGATGGAAGAGTTGGTCTAAAACAATACCACTGATTAACACAGCGCACTTGACCTATATTGATTTGTAGGTCTAATGACAAGGTGATAAAGTTTGTCATCCAAGGGAGGGGCAGCATGGTTTTTTTTGTTTGCACAGCACCAAATAAGATTCTTTTTGTATTAGGGTTGAACTTAGAAGACCACTTGTTTAATTTGTATGTGCACAGCCCTACAAACAAAGTCAGTTGGGAATGGAGAAATGAATTCAACTAAATAACACAATGAAGGAAGGAAGCATATTTCTCACTCACTGAAGTTGTGTTTTCTTTATTTATCTAATCACATGCAAAAAGAATTTCCAATTTTTTATTGTCTTTCTACAATATTCAATATTCAAAAGGAAACATCTACTCCTGTAAAAAAGACAAATGAACAAAAAAGTTAAATTGCGAGATTTGTTTTCCTTTTAACTTTCAAACTAACATGTCAGCACAGCCATCGGTAATAAGCTTCTGAGTAATTAAAAATAAAAATTTACCAACATAAAAACAACATAAACAGATTTAAGTAAAACAAGATTTAGTAGTCTTGTGTTGAAGGGTAAATAGTCTTATTTGTTTACATGGAAAAATGACTATGTGACCTGTGGCCATGGGTCAGTACTGACGTTGAAGCCTGAAGGAAACATATGGTTGTAATATTGTTGCAGTATACAATGGATGTCCAGGAGTCTTAGTGGAGTCTTAAAATTTTTAATGTCTGCTCTTGAAAGTTGCAGAGTGAATAGTAAGTTAAAGTGATAAAACAAAATATTTGCCCTTTTTTAATTTAAATTTGAATTAGAGATTGGATAAACCCATCCATTTCCTGCTGCTCTAGGGTTCATTTTCATTGTTTTGGGCTACAAATACAATAGTATAGTTCATATTTCACACCTGTTTACAAATATACAGTCAATGCACTGTATATATTTGTGTGTATATATAAATTAATAATAATTTACTTTTATATGTAAATTATTATTCTTATTTTACCGAATTTATGGAGCTCTAACAGTTTGCGCAGTGGTTTACAAAATAAAGTGAGCCAATATAGTTACAATGCAATTCAATACGAGAAGGTTTAGAGGGCCTGGTGATGAGAGCTTATAATCTTAATGGGAGGGTAAAGTGATACAAAAGTTCCTAACTGTTAAGGATGAGTTGATGGAGAAAGTAAAGGTACAGTTTATTAGGTGGAGGTGTGGTAGGCCTCTTTGAAGAGATGAGTTTTCAGGGATTGCCTAAAGGCAGACAGAGTAGGGGATAGCAGAACAGATTGGGATAGGGAATTTCAGAGCATAGGAGAGGCTCTGGAGAAGTCTTGGAGGCAAGCATGAAAGGAGGTAACAATGAAGGAGGTGAAGATGGAGAGCAGGAGGTCTTGGGAGGAGCAGAGTGGACTGGTGTGAAAACCCCCTTTTTTACTTACTTCACTAGAGAAGTGTTTTTTTTTCTTATCTCTTACTGTTAATGGATTCCTGCTTTCATGCCGAGTTGAAGGTACCTGTGGAGGAGTTTGGCAACCGCATTTGGCCATTTGAAATATGATGGTCCACCATTTCTGGAAAGAGACAACAGGGTGTACCTGGTGTTGGATTTGATCACATCACTGCACATATCAAGAGTGATTTGTTGCACGTTCATGGATCGTTTTTTCCTTAAGCAATTTAACAGTGGACTCATTTGATTTATACGTTCAATATGAACTTTTTGCACTTATTCTAAGATTTGCACTTTGGACTCATGCACTTTAATCTCTTTTATGCACTTTATATTATTTAAATGATTTATTTAGGCATTTTCACTATTTATTTTTGAATGTGTATTTAATATTGGTTAGCTCTGCTTTTTTTTCAGTTTAACTAGTTGCCGACCGCAGATAGCCGAATGACGGCTAAACTGCGGCCGGCCAGTTCTGAGTGGACGTCATATGACGTCCTCCCAGAACGCGCTCTCCTGCGCGCCCCAGGGGGCGCGCACCCGGCGATCTCCGTGATCGCTGTGTCCTACGGGCACAGCTGATCACGTGATGTGGTAAAAGGCCAATCATACCAGCCTTTTACCACGTGATCAGCGGTGTCCAATGACACGCTGATCACAGGGAAATGCAAGTGCCGGTTCTCGGCTGCACTTTCCTCACGCTGTCAGATCGTGAGGAAAGTACTGCCGAGAACCGGCAGTTGTCAGAGCGGGGAACGGCACCTATCATCAGGGCACTGATGATCAGTGCCCTGATGATCGGTGCCCAGCAATGCCACCCGCAAGTTCCGCCCACCTGTGCCCAGCAGTGCGCCCACTAGCTCCGCCCACCTGTGCCCAGCAGATCACCCACCTGTGCCCAGCAGTGCACCCACCTGTGCCCAGCAATGCACCCACCTGTGCCACCCTGCAGTGTCACACACCTGTGCCCAGAAGTGCCACCTACCTGTGCCCAGCAGTGCCACCCACCTGTGCCCACCTGTGCCCACCAGTGCCACCCACCTGTGCCCCACCCACCAGTGCTGCCCACCAGTGCCACCCACCAGTGCATCCCAGCAGTGCTGCCAGTCAGTGCCACCAGTCAGTGCCCAGGGGTTGTGCCAGTCAGTGCCACCAGTCAGTGCCCAGCAGTGATGCCAGTCAGTGCCCTCTATCAGTACCCATCATCAGTGTCACCTATCAGTGCCGCCTATCAGTGCTGCATATTAGTGCCGCCTATCCGTGACACCTCATTAGTGCTGTCTATCAGTGCCGCCTATCCGTGCCACCTCATTAGTACTGCCTATCAGTGCCCTTTAGTGCTGCCTATCAGTGCCCATCAGTGCCGCCTATCAGTGCCCATCAGTGCTGCCTCATCAACGCACATCAGTGAAGGAGAAAAAATAACTGTTTGAAAAATTTTATAATAGAAACAAAGAAACTTTTTTTTTTTTTTCAAATTTTTTGCACTTTTTTAATTTATAGCGCAAAAAGTAAAGCGCCCAGTGGCGATTAAATACCACCAAAAGAAAGCTCTATTTGTGAGAAAAAAAATTATCAAAATTTCATATGGGTACAATGTTGCATGACCGCGCAATTGTCAATCAAAGTGCGGCAGCGCTGAAAGCTGAAAATTGGCCTGGTAAATAAGGGGGTATAAGTGCCTGGTAGGCAAGTGGTTAATGTAGGAAAATAGTTACTTTTTTTGCTATTCAAAGGAAAAAAAAGAACAAACGAACATTTTGAAAAAAAAAAATATTTTTTTGTTTAGTTTTTGTTATAAAACTTTGCAAATAAATAATATCTTCCAAAATTTAGACCAAGATGTATTCTGCTACATTTCTTTGGTAAAAGAAATCTGTGTGAAAGTTATAGAGTCTACAAACCATAGTGTATACTATAATTGAAAATTGATCAATCCTGATATATTGACAGCCTATCTCATTTCTTGGGGCCCTAAAATGCTAGGACAGTACAAATACCCCCCCCCCCCAAAAAAAAAAAAAAATACCTATTTTGGAAAGTAGATAATCCAAGGTATTTAGTAAGAGGGATGGTGAGTTTTTTTAAATTTTAATTTTTTTGTCACAATGTTTTGAAAAATAAAGAAATTAAATCAAATGTTTTTTTTTTTATCACAAAGTTGTTATTTTAACAAGTTATCTTTCACACACAGAACAAGCATACTTATAATTAATTATACCCGTAAATACATTCTGCTATGTCTCCCAACTATAGGTATACTACCATGTGTGAGAGCTTTTCACAGCCTAGATGCACTGGGTGGGGGGGGGGGGGATACAAAGCCAAGTAGCACCTTCAGTCATTCAAGGAGCATAAAGTATATTTCTAATTTCCTTACTACCTGTCATATTTCTTGAGTCCCAATTTGG